GAATGCTTGGCCACCAGGGGGCATTACTGCCACTCTTGGGGCCTCAGTCCTACTACAGTTGCTTTCATAGTTAGTATCTGAACCCCCTGGCTCACACACAAGGCTTGCCAATAAAAAGGATTTTTCAACCAAAAGTTAAAATAACTAAATGTGACTTTTTTTTAAGTGGGTGATCATTCAGCTGGCATGGGGATTGATTCTTGGCTCCAGGACAGCCCAGTGCAATTGTTAAACAATTGTTTGGGTGGAGAGGGTGTTAATTATCAGCTCTGAATTTAGCAAACAAGAAACTGTGTAGGGTTTTAACAAATTAAGGATTGTAAAAGAATATCTAACTATTTTTCCCCAAGGTTGCACGCCTTTGATGCATGCCATTTCAGGACGCCAAGTTGATACTGTGAAGCTGCTGTTGAAGATGGGAGCAAACATTAATACTCAAGATGCCTGTGGACGCACAAGTTTATCTTTGGCAACTTATCTGGTACCAAGAGTTTTATGGAAAGCATTTGGGGACAAGAGGGCTGTGTGGGTGTGTGAAATAAAAGATGCATTTTTTAATATTGTCACCAGAAGAGAGTGAATACAACACTTGTACAGTTCTGGGCTTCAGTGAAAATATGAACCCCATTCCCTCAATGGCAGGTCAAGCAGCAAGAAAAGGATTGTGGTTTCTTTAAGATTTCCCTTTATTTTTGGTGTTGGGTGACATGGAAGGGCTGGAAGCATATAGCTCCTGAGCTAAGAGCTGACTGGAAGGGCTCAGGGAAGCCATTCTTCTACATTCTTCCTTGCCAGATGGAGTCTTCTCTCATGTCCTTACACCAGAGAGACCTGGATGGATGGACCAGGAGTTGGGTAGCACACTGGGACACAATCCTTTAACCTTAAAACAAGTTTAAGAGAATTCGGCAGCAGGCTAAGACCACATTTAGCAGGATGGAAGGGCTTACTGCCATCCTTCCTAATTAGGTGCAAACATGGAACAATGGCCTGCACGGTATAGTATGATTTATTATTGGATAACAGCCAGAGAATCTGTTAGTAAAGTCACTGCCTAATTTAATCACATCCCTTTCCTTTTATCTTCCTGCATACTTAGAACAAAAACAAAGCTTCAGTTTACCTGTGATATTTTCATCTAGAAAGATGTGTGTAGAATGTAGCAAAATGGACAGCCCATTCAAATGTACTCCATAAGCACATCACATTCAAGAATCAGCATTTCCTTTGCCAGATATTTTTAAAAATTCTCATGATTAGAAGCCATGCTCCTTTCTTCCTTCTTTCCACAAAGGGGAAAAATAATTCTTTGAAAAAAAGAAATGATTGGAAAACATTTGGGTTCCTCAGGCTTCCTGGCTTCATCACTGCCATTTCTGCTTCCAGGCTGTCTTTAGTGTGAGATCTAGGAAAAATCTGAAGTGGATGCCATCCCAGACTATTGACTTCAGTGTGCAGCCAAGTGTAGACCTTAGTCCTATGTTCCTCTCACAAACGTCCCTGCAACCAAATTGTAACTGGTAGACAACCCAAGGAGACTGCACTTTCATCTTTCTACCCACTCCCTTTATCAGTACTGAGCAGTCTAACTTGACTTGTATAGGACTGATCATGCTTTGTAGGTTCTTCACCAGGGCCTTGATTTGAGGAAAGCATTAAGTATATGCTCGACTTCCCTGGGATTCGGGATCATCTCAAATGCTAGGGCTCTTACTATTTAATATCAGTGCTAGCCTCTTATAAAGAAGTTAAGATCAAATGTTCAGGCTCACATCTTAATCTGACTTAATTAGCACCATATGTGGTCAGATACACAACACTTGCTAGTGATGCAGAAATGAGCAGTGTTTTAATCACTATATTTATATCTCCCTCCCTGCCAGAGCTGCAGAAAGGCCTAACTGCAGTACAATGAAGAAGCTTAGTTACAAAAATGAAATACCCGGGACTTAATAGGAACTAATCCTGAATCCCCTTTGAAGCTCAAAAAAAGAAGTTTTCCTGAAAAAAAAGTGGGCCAAATCCTTGGCATGTAGTCCATATCAAAGTCAATGGCACTACAACCTTACACACCAAATGAGATTCTGGCCCTGAATCTTCCAGTTACCTCATTAACATTATCCATTTTCCTTTTAGGGCTGGCTTGAATGCTGCGTCAGCTTGCTTAGAAATGGTGCTAAGCAGAACATACCTGATAAAAACGGAAGGTTGCCACTACATGCTGCTACTGCGGACCTTGATGTGAGGTGCGTCCCCCACCTTCAAACAATGTTTGATTGTAAAAAAGAAAAAGCCTTAGAGGTGCAATGCATGGTTATCAGAATAACCAAAAGAGAGTGCCTTGTCTGGAAGCACCATGGGGTGGGGAGGTTAGTTGTGACGGTTACACGTGTGTCTTGCTCTTATTTTTGGTAATTACCCCTCAGATAAATGAAGGGTCTGGCAGGGCTCTAGAGCTATACACACAGGGGCCATCTACATCAGATATTTACTGTGGAGCTGACTAATTAGCTCTGCAGTAATGTGTCAGCATCTATACACATGGAGCTGTTAGGCTGGAGTAAACTAATTAACTCTTCTGTACGATAGTACTGCCCAACACAAGTACTATCCTATGGTGGAGTTATTTACTCCACCACAACACTCATGTAGACACTGACTGGGGCTGGCTGGGGCATGAGGGTGCTACAGTGCAGGGCTGCCTATTGGTTAGCCCCACACTGCACCCTTGTGCCACAGGCATCTCCTTTGCAGCACATTGAGCTGAGTCAGATCTCAATGTGCTGCAGTTCTGGGTGCATGTGCAAACATTGTGCCCAGGAGCAATAAACTCTGGTGCAAACTATGCCAGTTTATTGTGTCAAATTAATTTTACATGTGGACCCACCCACTTACATATACATAATGCTATACAGTTGTGCCACACTTGTATGTTGATGTAGGGTGAAGAATCAACCTGAAAGCAAGGAAATTCTGAATGCAAGCTCCCAGCCTGTATGCCAGCTGAACC